CTATAATTTAATTTTTAAATAATAGTGCTACTGATATATAATTTAAATATCATGAAATTCATCCTTTTAATGTACAGTTCACTGGTTTTTAGCATATGAAGTTGTGCAACCATCAACATTATTTAATTTTAGAACATTTTTATCACCCCAAAAATAAACTATATCCATTAGCAGTCATCCCCCACTTCCCGTCTCTGTTGATTTGCCTATTCTGGACTTTTTACAAATGGAATTGTGTAATATATAGTATTTTAAACTGACTTCTTTCACTTAGCATAATGTTTTCAAAGTTCATCCATGTAACACTACTTCATTACTCTTTATTGACAGATGATATTCTATTTACGTATATATCATTTTTGTTTAACCATTCATCATTTCATGGGTATTTGGATTATTTCCATTTTTTTTTGCTATTATGAATAGTGCTGCTACGAATATTTGTGTACCAGCTTTGGTGTACACCCTTTTTCATTTTTCTTTGGTGTATACTTAGGAGTGGAATTGCTGGGTCATAAGATAACTATGTTTAAAAAAACAAGAGAGGAAGAGAAATAGAAGAACAAAATTAAAAAGATAACTGTGTTTAACATTTTGAGAGACTGATAAGCTGTTTTCCATAGCAGCTGCATCATTTTACAGTCCCACCGGCAATGTACAATTGTTCCAGTTGCTATACAGCCTCACTAACACATGTTATAGATTTCTTTTTATTTTAATCATCCTAGTGGATATGAAGTGGTATCTCATTGTGGTTTTGATTTGCATTTCTTTAATGACTATTGATGTTGAGAATCTTTTCTTATGTTCATTGGTCACTTGCATATCTTCTTTGGAGAAATGTCATTCAAATCCTTTGTCCATTTCTTTAAATAGGCTATTTTTTTTAGAGCAGTGTTAGGTTCACAAAAAATTTGAAAGAAGGGTGCAGAGAATTTCCATATACTTTCCCCCAAATAAAGAACTTCCTTAATCATCAACATTTGCACGGCAATGGCACATTTGTCACCATCAAGGAACCTACATTAACACATAGTTGTCAACCAAAGTCCATAGTTCACATTAGGCTTCACTCTTGGTGTTGTACATTCTATGCATTTGGACGAATGTATAATGACATATTTATATGTCTGCCATTACAATATCATACAGAATATTTTCCCTACCCTAAGAATCCTCTGTGATTTTCCATTTATCCCTTCCTGCTCCCAACCCTTGCAACTCCTCACCTCTTTTATTCTCTCCATAATTTTGCCTTTTCCAGAATGTCATATAGATGGATTCATATAGTATGTAGCCTTTTTAGATTGGCTTCTTTCACTTAGTCATAGAAATTTAAACTTCTTCCGTGTCTTCTCATGGTTAAATATTTCTTTTTCTTTCTTTCTTTTTTTTTTTTTTTGAGACAGAGTCTCACTCTGTTGCCCAGGCTGGACTGCAGTTGCGCAATCTTGGCCTACTGCAACCTCAGCATTCTGGGTTCAAGCAATTCTCCTGCCTCAGCCTCCTGAATAGCTGGGACTACAGGTGCATATCACCACACCCAGCTAATTTTTGTATTTTTAGTAGAGACGGGGTTTCACCATGTTGACCAGGCTGGTCTCAAATTCCTGACCTCAGGTGATCCACCTGCCTCGGCCTCCCAAAGTGCTGGGATTACAGGCATGAGCCACCACGACCAGCTTAATATTTCTTCTTAGTGCTGAATAATATTCCATTAAGTTTATTTGGTTGCTTCCAAGCTTGGGCAATTATGAATAAAGCTGCTATAAATATTCTGCACAGGTTTTAATGTGGACATACATTTTCAGCTTATTTGGGTAAACACCAAGAAGCACTACTGCTGGATTACATGGTGAGAATATGTTAGTTTTATAAAAAACTAAACTGTGTTCCAAAATGGCTATACCATTTTGCATTGCCGCCATCAATGAATGAGAATTCTTTGTCCATTTTCCAACTGGGTAATTTTTCTTTTTTATTGTTGAGTGTAAGAGTTTTAGTAAGTATATTCTAGACACAAGTCCCTTATCATTCTGATTTCTGAGTCTCCTCAAGTTCCCTGGATCTTGCTGCCATGGCTGCATCTCTTCTGGCCACATGGGAGAAACATCCTGCTGTTTCAAATGCCATGACATGCTGGGTAGCCTGAGGATTTAGTGATACTTTTCTAGGTTCATCTACAAAGAAGGATACCTACAGGTCTTTCTAATCTTTGGCTCTACCTCCATGGAAGGTGAGAAAAACCATCTTTTACATTGGTATGTGATTTACAATCTTTTCTTTCAGCACTAATCTTTGTGTCTTAACTCATTCAGGTTTTTGAGGTTTAATTCTCAGAAACTAGTCTATAGAATTCAAACTTTTCTCTTGAATTATTGTCACTGCTATCAAGTTTAAAATCTATTTTAAAATTCAAAGGCAAGAATTTGATTTCTTTTCTTTCTGCCTCCACAATACCTCTCTGTTTGAGTTTGAATGGAGGCAGACGCCAGATATAATACTGCAAAACTATCATCTTGCTATTTGCAAAACTATCATATAAAATGGTTGTCTAAAAGCAAGCTGAGACAAAACAAGTGCAAGTTGCACAGGTAGTGAAGCTTAGTGAGAGTAAGTGATGCAAGAGTCATTCTGAAGAGTGAACAGCAACTTTGCTTTGTATTCCAACTCCACAGTCATGGGTTCTGCAATTGGAAGTAGCTTAAGCAAAGAGTGGAATACATTTTAAGGATACGGTGATGTCTCATAGAATCCCAGGACCAGAAAGCAGTTAGGCCTTGGGAATAAATGGAATCAGGAACTCAAATGTAATCACACTCTTCACCTTTTCTGGTTCACAAAATTACTGAAAACTCCCATTTTTTGCAGTTCCTAGTGGCATTTAAAGATAATCTGATCTTTGTTTCTAAAATACACTTCCAAAATTCCCAGAAAAGGACAGTTTCTCAAATTGAGTAAATGTGGCCAGGGCTAGGGGAACGGAGGAAAGTTCCATTCTAATAACATAGATATTTTCATGGTTACCAGGCAAATGGTGTGGTAGACATGGGGGAAATTAAAAAAATTAGTTTGCAAAGCAGGTGAATCTGGCAAGTGCCCTCTTTGTTGTTCTTGGCTGCATATAGTTGAAATTTCAAACCTCTTAGACCAGCATACAAAGGCCTTCAAAATCTCCCTTTAATCTGTTTTTCCTACTTTTTCTGTTAACCCTGTCTCATTCCCTATACCCTGAATCTAGAAGGACCAAGCTACTTTCTCTTCCTGGAAGGCACTGGGCTCTTCGTGCCTATCAGCCTTTGTACAAGTTTCTTCTTAGTTTGGAATGCCTTTTTCTCCCTAGTCTGGCTGGTAACTTCTAGTTATCTTTTAGGTCTAGCTCAGAGTTATATCTGGAAACACTTGACTTTCAAAGAATAATTTATTGCTTTTTTTGTGTTTCACTTTGTTGGCACTATTCTAGGACTCCTATCACATTGGATTGTAGTTGTCTAATCTGTCTCTTTTCTCTACCAACTTGAACATTTTAGAAGTAAAACTATGCCTTGATCGTATTTGTCTCAATGGTGGCTTGTCTTTGGGTTGTACATAGCAGAGGTTCAATAAAATTCTCATCAGTTATTATTTTTCCCTTTTTCTCCCCGACCTAAGTAATCTCAGTACCCCCAGCTCCCTAAATTATCAACAAATAGAAAAAAAGCTCTATTCGTTTTTATCCTTGTTCTTTACTCTCTTTAGTTTAAACCCAAATTTGACTATGTAAATGTAATTTCATTTTGTTACCCCTTTCCTTCATTAAAACAAAAATACCCTTCATGCACATGCAAAACACTCTACCCGACACTGTTAAAAGAGCAGAAATGAACACCAACAAAAGCCAAGATGAAAAATTTCCCCAATGTTGAATTTTTGGACTTAGTGTGGGAGTAGGAAAATGGAGACATAATTCTGGTTCTCCCTTTGGCAGTTTTCAATTGCTATTTCTCAGTCTCAGTCAGAAAACACATCTCTCTGCCTTTCATTTCACCCCATTTCTACTTTCTCCTCCTTTGCCCCTATGCAAAACCAAAGATGGGTTGAGAGGCCAGGCATAATGGAAGAGGAACGTTCTTTTCTTCCACTCCTGCTTCATTCTCTCCCCCTTTCTTCTTCAAATTCTGTTTTGGGCCCATCCTTCCTCACCCTTCCAATTTCATCTGATGGACACACTGTCACTGTTGTCTCTTGTCATATTTGATTTTATGATATTTCATGATTTTTTTTTTTTTTGGTAAATTCATGGACAGAGAATGTATCCTGGTAAACACTTAGATTAAAACAAATTTACACAGTTGATTACTATAAATGAAAATTAGTGACTCAAATTCTCCAGGTTTCTAAGCTGCCTAGAGTAAGCCAATCAGGTAATTTTCGCTACTTCTGGGCAAAATGTATCTGAATCTATTCAGTGGATTTGCAGGACGAAATCTAAGTTTACCTCTTTCATCTCTCATTTAAATGCGGAAAAACAAAATCAATAAAAATCGATATATGCTTATTAAGCATTTTAAGGAGGATGTGAATAAGGAGCGGAGGCTTTGAGCAGTGACTACAGCAGTCAAAACCAATAACCAATGCCAATCAGTAGCTCTTTTCACCTCTCACACAATAATAGAGACAGGAGAGGATAAAAAAGGGTGACATTAAAAAAAGTATGGATGTTAAAATGAAAAAAAACATTGGAAATGGCACTGTAAATGACACCGCAAAAGATCGCCTCCAGGCACTGTGTGGAGCTTCGCAGACTCGGGTACTCACCCGAGGGCCGTAGGACGGACCTCGGGGAGGCTCCGCCCCAGAAACTATTTCATGGGCGCCCCCACCGCCCCACACTTCCCCTCTTCCGCATGCGCACAAGGAGCAGGAGCCGGTCAGCTCGTCTCGTCGCCTTCCCCGCCCCTAAATTTCCAGTTCCGATTGGTCCGTTTCATGGGACCGCCCCTCTGGCCCGACCATTGTGAAAGCCTCCTCGGGTGCTCCGCCCTCCCCGCGGGCTGCGTGCGGCATCGCCTGCGAACCCTGGCGGTGAGCGGGGATGGCGGTTGTGGCGGCGGCTGCAGGCTGGCTGCTCAGGCTTAGGGCGGCAGGGGCTGAGGGGCACTGGCGTCGGTTCCGTGGCGTGGGGCTGGCGCGGGGATTTCTGCACCCCTCCGCGACTGTCGAGGATGCGGCCCAGAGGCGGCAGGTGGCTCATTTTACTTTCCAGCCAGATCCGGAGCCCCGAGAGTACGGTGAGCCAGGGACTGCCCACTCGGTCCCGCTGTAGCCCGGACTCCCAGGCTCGCAGGCGCCCGCGAGGGGTAGGGGCCGGCAGGCTGCAATCCTTGCATCCTAGCTTATTAACTGCCTTACCCTCTGGAACCTCGTTGCCCCAGGGTCTAACTGTGATTCACTTCTTGCTCTATTTTTGTGAGTGTTCCGCCCCAGAGACGCAGTCCCCCCTCCCTCGCACCTTTGTGATGGGTGAGAGGGCATACTGCCACCTGGAAGGGCCTGAGGGTGGAGGGGTGGTGCCCAGGGAACGCCACCCCTTTCTCTCTCCTCCATCCTTACTTTCTCAACCTAGACCTTAGGTGTTGTTCCAGCCTGCCCGGGACTGGGTCACTAGCTTAGGTAGAGACATTAAAAAAAAAAATATATATATATATATATATATACACATATATATATATAAATATATATAAAATCAATTCTGTTACTCAGTTCCTTGGTTTCTTCTTACCTACAGAAATGTGTGTGTGTGTGTGTGTGTGTGTGTGTGTGTGTATATGTCCCTTGGTTTCTTCTTACCTAGAGAAATACATATATATATATCCCTTGGTTTCTTCTTACCTATAGAATTTCTGCAGGTAAGAAGAAACCAGGGGACTGAGTAATTGAATTGATTTTCCCAAGGTCACAGAACAGGTTCTTCCTAGAGATCCAGACTTTCTACTTAAGCTTAGTACTGAGCTTGTCCTGGGCTATGCTGCCACTTAGCCAAGGAGGTGAAGGTGATAGGAGGAGGAAGCCATAGGAAGGGTATGTAGCAAACTCCTCATAGTATGACTATTGCATGATTTTTACCATTTCTGCAAGTTTCATGTAATGTCTCTTATCAGAATATCAGATCCAGTGTCTCTCATCAGAATATCAGGAAACTAGGTAAACATGTATTGCTTCCTTGTCTAATAACTTCTCACGTGCATGCTAGAGCTGACATTTTTGGAAGTGTGTCTTTTCTTGTGGATAAGAATGAACATTTATTGAGTGCTTACCAGGGTCAGGCACTGTGTGTATGTTTCATCCTCTCATTTAAGGGTTAGGACAACCTTAAAAGGTTGGTAAAGTTTTTATTCCCATTTTGCAGTTAGATTAATGGAAGTCTTGAGACAGTTTGTCCAAGATTACACGGATAAATTAGTGGTAGCTCCAGAGCTCCAGCTTTGGAATCTAATTGATCAGATTCCAGAGCTTCCATTCTAAACAATGTACTAAGATGCATGTAGATATAATTTACTAGGAGGGTGTCCCAGTATTGTGAAACAGTAGGTACCATAAAGGTTAATAGTAGGTTTTTTTTTTTTCCACCACCAAGATGAGCTCTCAATTCTGTCTTGAAAGCAAAGAATAATCCACCTTTCCATAGTTGTAAATTTACTAAAATCTAAGTAAAATGATATCATGTTATTGTGATATATATCATGATATATATAAACTTGTTCTTATTTTAAAAATAATACAAACATATTACAGGTAATTTGGATAATGGAGAAAAAGTAAAAAAAAAAAAAAAAAAATCTGCTGGGCGCAGTGGCTCACGTCTGTAATCCCAGCACTTTGGGAGGCCGAGGTGGGTGGATCACCAGGTCAAGAGATCGAAGCCATCCTGGCCAACGTGGTGAAACCCTGCCTCTACTAAAGATAAAAAAATTAGCTGGGCGTGACAGCGCACGCCTGTAGTCCCAGCTACTTGGGAGGCTGAAGGAGGAGAATCACTTGAACCCGGGAGGCGGAGGTTGCAGTGAGCTGATATCGTGCCACTGCACTCCAACCTGGCGACAGAGCAAGACTCCGTCTCAAGAAAACCCCAAAAACCAACCAACCAAACCAAAATCGCCACCCACTACTAACATTTTGGGTGTATCCTTACAGGTATTTCCTTTTAGTTTAGTATTTTCCGTACTTTTAGTTTTAATACAGATACAACTTATTTAGTCAGAAGGATAATCCTATCATTCTCTGGAGTTTTTATAACCTTCTTGAGAATTTAGAAGAAATGTTCCATGGAGTAGAGATGCTACAAGTCTTTTACAAGTTAAATTCTTGACTTCGGAATCAGATTGTCCTAAAGTTGATCTTGTCTTGGCTATCTATAACTTTGGAGTTATCACTTATCTTCTATAAGCCTCAGTTTCTTTATATGTAAGGGGTTAATAATAATACCTACTTCAGAAGGTTGTTCTGAGAGCTACATAAAACAATGTCTATAATATACTTAACACTGTTTGACAACTGAGAATCAAGCATTCACTCAATAAGTGGAACCTTTAATTACCATTATGTTTTTGTTGCTAAAGTTTTGCAGTTTTATAAATAATGCAGATATAAGTATTTAATGCGTATGGGTTTTATGTATCTGAGATGATTTCTTTAGGATAGAGTCCTGAATGCTTTAGTGGATTTTAAGTGCATAGTTCAAATTTATACACTAGTTCATACCCCATAACATGTATAATAGTGTGAGTATTGGATATTAATGCTAAAATTAGGTGTGTTCATGTACACTTTTGGATATTTTGTGCTATCTGTACTTTGTTTTAATTTTTGTTTCATTTCCGTTGAGGAATATTTTCCCATGTTTTTGTTAACGTGATTTATTTTTACTTAAGAATTGAGTATTAGATGTGTTTACATATTTTTAAAAGTATACTCAGTATTTTTCCTATCAATACTATCTACCATTATTGCATAGTTGCTCTTTTCCAGGTGTTGTGTTAGACATCAGTTTATAATCCTCACAGTAACCTTGTGAGCTAGACAATATTATGCTCATTTTAAAGATGAGAAAATTGAGGCTCAGAAATGTTGGTACTTGCCCGAGTCTGGTAAGTAGCAGAGCCAGAGTTTGCATCCTGAGGTGTCTGACTCCAAAGTCTTCCATACTACTTATATACTAAGATTTTTGTCTATTAAAAAATATTGAAGAAGATACTAACTTTCTGCTTTTCACGTGTGCTGCAAATACTTTTCATTCTTTTATTTTGGTTGTTTTGACATATAAAAGGTACTGCTGAAACAGGAGGTGGTCAGATTAGACTCTGAGTTGGTGACACTTACGCTGCTTTATGCTGGCATGTTTGCTCCCTTTATTACACTGTGGTGTTCTCCGAGAACAGTTCATCTTGGCTTCTCCATGCCCCTGATTCTTGGGCATTGTATGGATATGAGTTTGTTTATTCAGTCATTCTATGCATTTTTATTTTCTCCTGGTTGCCAGACTTTCTGCTAGCTGTTAAGGATGTGATCATGGACCTGTCAGAGGGTAATCTGAACCTTCTTTTTGGACACCTTGTATCCCCTGTCTGCCAGGAAATTCAAATTTTTTGTAGTATTTTCATCCAAGGTTGAGCTACACATAAGAAGGTCATCCATATACTGGAGTATACTCCCATTTCTTAATTGCAGACCCCTCAGATCCCTCTCTAAGGCCCAGGCAAAGCAATGGGGGCTATCCTGAAAACCCTGAAGGAGAACTGTCCAAGTGAATTTTTTTTTCTCTGGTATTAGGATTTTCCCATTCAAAGGTAAAAAGGTATTGGGATTCTGGGGCCAGAGGAATGGAAAAGGAAGCATCTTTTAGGTCTAGGACTGAGAACCATTTAGCATCCCTTGGCACCTGAGCCAGGAGGGTATATGGATCTACCACTAATGGGTGGACCCACCAGTGGGTCTTAAGAGCCCATGGGTAAGTAATACCTCAGCTGTGGATGCTTGGCCTTTTCTTGCTTCCAGCTTAATTGGGTATTGTTTTCGATTATAAATAGCTAGGGGTCTTTAAGCTGTATTTTGACTGGCACTGCTGTTTTAGCCTTCCCTGGTTTTCCAGTATACCATGCCAGTGTGTTAACCTGCTTATTAATGTGATCTGGGACAGTTTCTGTATTTTTGACTATTAGCAATTTCACCAGATGATGCTTAAATTGTAGTAGTGCCCCTATTTTAACCATAATATCTCTTTCCAACAGGGGGACTGGGCAGCTTGGTACTACTAGAAATTCCTGTTGGAAGATTTGTTTCTCAAATTGACAAATCAAAGGAGGAGTAAAGGATCTTATTTGTGGCTTTCCTTCCATTCCCATAATGGTCGTGGACTGGGAGGAAAGTTTTTCTACATAAGCAGTAAGGAAAGAAACTGAATTTGTATCGAAAAGAAACTGAATTTGGGTGCCCATGACATCCAGAGTTACCTGGGGGCTCCTCAGTAGTAATTATGATGTTCCTGAACAGGGGCAGTGAGGAAGACCCTGGGCCGCTTCCGTCTTCATCTGATTTCTCTTTTTGCACTGCTAGAGTTTTGCCTTATTGAACCCCTTGGTGGGAGCAGGGCCAGTCAATCTTCCAACGCCAGGGGTCGTAACTGATGCCCTCACATTTTTGGCAGGGTACTGGCAGGGGCTTAATACAGTCCTTTGTCCAATTCTCGATTTTCTTGCATTTGAAGCACAAGCCTTTGCTGTCCAGATTATCATAGGCAAGCCAAATCAACCAAATTCCAAATGGCTGGTGTTCTCCATCAATTCCTGCAGGCCTGAAATAGGTAGCCTAGGAATTCCAGATAAATAGAACACATGATGGCTTGCTAGAAATTCACAGGAAACAAAATAACTATTCTCAGAACCAAATAAAAGCCTTCCACTAGAAACTAAAAAATGTCTATAGTTCTATATATGGTTTTATATATATGCATACACAAGTAAAACCCAAAGGAGAACAAATAGCAAACAAATGAAAATTAGAAGCAAAAACAAATAAACAGGAAACCATCCCTAAATTTTTGCTACTTAGTCTACCTGGGGGCTACAGTGTTACCCAGAGCCCCCCAGAAATCCACATAATGAATATTTTATTCCTGATACACAACTCAATATCCTTAATTCCACCAGTATCACCATTTATACTGTGCAATGAAGAAATTCACTCTAGGCACATGACCAGTAAGTACTCCAGTGCCAGCTTGTTTAGTAAAGTT